GGGAGATAAAGAGAGGGAACCAAGAGAGACGGGGGTTGTACCGGGGAAGCCTCGCCCCAAAAAAGCGCCGCCCTGGCGGCGAGAGAGGGGGGGCTCTCCTGAGTTGTGCTATGCGAGCCGCGCGCGGAGAGAGCGAGCCTCAGCCTGACTCAGCCTCAGCCCCAGCCTGCTTCAGCCTCAGCCTCAGTCTGCCTTCAGCCTCGGCCTCAGCCTCAGCCTGCCTCAGCCTCAGCCTGCCTCAGCCTCAGCCTCAGCCTGCCTCAGCCTCAGCCTCGGCCTGCCTCAGCCCTCGCGCGCATTCGCGCGGATCCTCTCGACCCCGCCGGCCCGAGGGGATGGGGGATCATAAAGAGAGGGAACAAAGAGCAGAATGGGTATGTTATCGGAGCAAACCTCGCCCCAAAAAGCGCCTCCCTGGCGGCGAGAGAGGGTGGCTCTCCTGTTTTGCGATGAGAGCCGGCGTGCGGAGAGAGCGAGCTCAGCCTGCCTCAGCCTCATCCTCAGCATCTTCATCCTCGCCTCATATGCGTTCCCCTCGGCCTCAGCTCATGGCCCACATCCTCATCCTGCCTCAGCCTCAGCCTCAATCCTGCCTCAGCCTCGGCCTGCCTCAGCCTCGCGCGCATTTCGCGCGGATCCTCTCGACCCCGCCGGCCGAGGGGATGGGGGGAGATAAAGAGAGGGAACAAAGAGAGAAGGGGGATGTATCGGGGAAACCTCGCCCCAAAAAGCGCCGCCCTGGCGGCGAGAGGAGGGGGGCTCTCCTGAGTTGTGCCATGCGAGCCGCGTGCGGAGAGAGCGAGCCTCAGCCTGCCTCAGCCTCAGCCTCAGCCTGCTTCAGCCTCAGCCTCAGTCTGCCTTCAGCCTCGGCCTCAGCCTCAGCCTGCCTCAGCCTCAGCCTGCCTCAGCCTCAGCCTCAGCCTGCCTCAGCCTCAGCCTCGGCCTGCCTCAGCCTCGCGCAAATTTCGCGCGGATCCTCTCGACCCCGCCGGCCGAGGGGATGGGGGGAGATAAAGAGAGGGAACAAAGAGAGAAGGGGGATGTATCGGAGAAGCCCCGCCCCCAAAAGCGTCGCTCTGGCGGCGAGAGAGGGGGGCTTTCCTGAGTTGTGCTATGCGAGCCGCGTGCGGAGAGAGCGAGCCTCAGCCTGCCTGAGCCTCAGCCTCAGCCTGCTTCAGCCTCAGCCTCAGTATGCCTTCAGCCTCGGCCACAGCCTCAGCCTGCCTCAGCCTCAGCCTGCCGCAGCCTCAGCCTCAGCCTGCCTCAGCCTCAGCCTCGGTCTGCCTCAGTCTCGCGCGCATTTCGCGCGGATCCTCTCGACCCCGCCGGCCGAAGGGATGGGGGGAGATAAACAGAGGGAACAAAGAGAGAAGGGGGATGTATCGGAGAAGCCTCGCCCCAAAAAGTGCCGCCCTGGCGGCGAGAGAGGGGGGCTCTCCTGAGTTGTGCCCATGCGAGCCGCGTGCGGAGAGAGCGAGCCTCAGCCTGCCTCAGCCTCAGCCTCAGCCTGCTTCAGCCTCAGCCTCAGTCTGCCTTCAGCCTCGGCCTCAGCCTCAGCCTGCCTCAGCCTCAGCCTGCCTCAGCCTCAGCATCAGCCTGCCTCAGCCTCAGCCTCGGCCTGCCTCAGCCTCGCGCGCATTTCGCGCGGATCCTCTCGACCCCGCCGGCCGAGGGGATGGGGGGAGATAAAGAGAGGGAACAACGAGAGAAGGGGGATGTATCGGAGAAACCTCGCCCCAAAAAGCGCCGCCCTGGCGGCGAGAGAGGGGGGCTCTCCTGAGTTGTGCTATGCGAGCCGCGTGCGGAGAGAGCGAGCCTCAGCCTGCCTCAGCCTCAGCATCAGCCTGCTTCAGCCTCAGCCTCAGTCTGCCTTCAGCCTCGGCCTCAGCCTCAGCCTGCCTCAGCCTCAGCCTGCCTCAGCCTCAGCCTGCCTCAGCCTCAGCCTCGGCCTGCCTCAGCCTCGCGCGCATTTCGCGCGGATCCTCTCGACCCCGCCGGCCGAGGGGATGGGGGGAGATAAAGAGAGGGAACAAAGAGAGAAGGGGGATGTATCGGAGAAACCTCGCCCCAAAAGCGCCGCCCTGGCGGCGAGAGAGGGGGGCTCTCCTGAGTTGTGCTATGCGAGCCGCGTGCGGAGAGAGCGAGCCTCAGCCTGCCTCAGCCTCAGCCTCAGCCTGCTTCAGCCTCAGCCTCAGTCTGCCTTCAGCCTCGGCCTCAGCCTCAGCCTGCCTCAGCCTCAGCCTCAGCCTGCCTCAGCCCCAGCCTCGGCCTGCCTCAGCCTCGCGCGCATTTCGCGCGGATCCTCCGCGCATTTCGCGCGGATCCTCTCGACCCCGCCGGCCGAAGGGATGGGGGGAGATAAAGAGAGGGAGCAAAGAGAGAAGGGGGATGTATCGGAGAAACCTCGCCCCAAAAAGCGCCGCCCTGGCGGCGAGAGAAGGGGGCTCTCCTGAGTTGTGCTATGCTAGCCGCGTGCTATGCTACGCGTGCGGGGGGGCGGGGGGATGGGGGGGAGGGGGCGAGGGAGAGAGCGAGGCGGGGGGGGAGAAGGCGGAGGAGGGTGAGGAGGAGGAGGAGGAGGAGGAGGAGGAGGAGAAGAGAAGAGAAGAGAAGAGAAGAGAACGGACCCGCCCTACATCCCAGCCACCGACCCCATCTCGCCATCTGTCGCGGGGTCCTCCTGGAGCGCAGGGATCCTTTTTAAGCTTCAAAGTCATAGGTGGTGGGGAAGTCTCAGGCGATACGCCCGACCCACCCTAAAAACTGGCCTCAGGGTGCGACAGGGAGGATCATGGGGGGGAGGGGCGAGGATAGCACAGCGCGCACATAGCACAACACAGGGGGCGAGATAGCACGCAGAAACTTGGACAGGGGCCGTTCTCGATGTCCCCGGAGCACAAAGTTGCAAAAGTAGCCGAGACATCATGACTTGGGGTTCGGAAGATGCGAAAAAACTCGGCGTTCGAAGATTTACTATACGTCAAACGCGAGCGACTGCAATAGCACAAGTCGGTTTTGGCCTGTGCTATCTCAAGGCGACCGAGTATACCTACTTCTTCCGAACGATGGGTGACAGTAGAGAGGGAGTAAGAGAGAGAGAGAGAGAGAGAGAGAGCGAGAGAGATGGAGGATGGCGCTTCTGCCGAGCAGGGAGCACGCCCTTTCCCTGTCCCCATATACCCCCAGCCCTGCCACCCCAACGACGGCGACGGCGGCGACGACAACCACGGCGACGACGACGACGGCGACGACGACGACGACGACGACGACGACGACCCTGACATCCGACGACATGTTTTTCAATGCGCGGCCCCGGAAGACCCAACCACTTCCCTGGGGCAAGCTTTCCGCCCGGACCTGTCCTTGATGGCCCTGGGGCCCGAGGACGGGCCCCAGAGACCGAAACCGAGCGTAAACGCTTGGATTGAGAGAGTCATATCGTCGGATATCTGGGACGAAGCCGACGCCAACGACGACGCCGCCGACGACGACGACGGCGACGCCGACGACGATGACGACGACGAGGACCAGGACGAGGACGAGGACGACGACGACGACGAGGACCATGACGAAGATGAGGACGACGACGTCGCCGATGGCGGCGGCGGCGGCGACGATGCCGAGGACGGCGGCGAGGCCCTCGTCCGCCCCCCGCCCCTCTCTGCGGAGGCGGCCCGCCGCCGGAAGGCGCTGCGGGAGGCCCTGGACATGGAGGATGTCGTCGTCGTCGTCGACGTCGTCGTCGTCGTCGTCGACGTCGTCGTCGTCGTCGACGTCGTCGTCGTCGTCGTCGTCGTCGTCGTCACCTCGCCGTCGTCGGCGGCGTCGTTGTCGGACCCCTCGGCGTCGCGTTCCAAAAAGGGCCTTCTCTTTCGCGGCGGAAGGGCGCGGCGTTCCAGAAAGGGCGTTGCCTTCGAGAATCCAAGGAGTTGTCATCTCTTCCGCGGCAGCAGGTGGCGGAAGTAAAACGAGGCCGCCTCCGCCAGCGGAAGCCGGCGGAAGGGGGGCGGAAGGTGGTGGAAGTAAAAGATGCGCCCCCAAGAGATGAACGTTTTTGGGTTTAGAGTTTCCGAAATCCGCCATATGGGTCGGGGTGTTTTTGGGGTTTCGTTGGCCCTCTTCGGGGCCTCTGGGGTTCTGCGGACCTCTGGTCGTCGTCGCCACCGTCGTCGCGTCGTCGTCGTCGTCGTCGCTCTGGTCGTCGTCGCTCTGGTCGTCGTCGCTGTGGTCGTCGTCGCCTACTCGTCGTCGCCTTGTCGTCGTCGTCGCCTCGTCGCCGCCTCGTCGTCGTCGCCTCGTCACCGTCAGCGCCTGATCGGCGTGTCGCGGTCGGCGTCGCCGTCGCCAGTCGCCGGTCGCCGCCATCGGCAGAGGATTTCGGGGGCGACGGCGGCGACGACGTGCCGCAGATGCCGACGCTCGGCCGCGCGACGTTGTCGGGCCTCTCCCTCGCGGACGCGATCGGCGAGGCCTCCCTGTCGCGTACGTGCTCACGCGAGTGTGCTTGCTCGAGCTCGCGCGCGCGCGCGTGCTTAACCATACCCTTTGTAGTCGCCGACTCTGGCCGCGCCCCAGAGGGCGAGGCCAGGCCTCGGACACCATCGGGCCGGGGCCGCTCGCGGACCTCCGAGATCTGGTGGCTCTGGGGGGAAGCGGAGTCAGATACGGTAGGTTTGCGTCGTGTCGACTCGCGGCGACCCCAGCGCGGGCGTTCAAGGTTGAACGCCGCCGGCGACCCAGAATCGATCGATGTTGAACGATCGGACGTTGCGGCAGCGGCCGATCGTTCAAGGTTGAACGATCCCTGCGGTGTCAAAAACCAACGCTGGGGTCGGCACGACACGAACCTGCCGTAGGGAGGGGGGGAGCTGGGAGAATGAGCAGGTGCGTCGCGTCGGCGCTCCTGCCGCCCCCCCTCCTGCTGGAGACCTGGGAGGGTGTCCCCGGGGGGACAAAACCTCCGTACCCCAAAAAACATCCTCCAGTTCTCCCCCCCCCCGCTGGCCCGAAAAAAAAATGGGGCCATCAAAACCACTTGCCGATTTTTTCCCAAGGGAGGAGGAGGAGGTGGAGGAGGAGGTTACCTGTTTCCATTTTCTCTCAGGAAGGAGGAGGAAGAGGAGGACAAGGTTCCGCTCTTCCCTGTTCCTTAGGAAGGAGGAGGATCCTTCCCTCCCCTTGCCTTCAGGAAGGAGGACGATGGGGGGAGAACCAGGATTCCAATCGAATTCCATTGCATTGCAATCGCATTGCAATCATGTTTTCAAGATTATGCTGCTGACGATGGTGGTGACGCGCATCCCTTTGAAAGTCATGCCGATGGCGATGGTGATGACGAGTACGGTAGTCCAGATGCTGTCGATGGCGATGGCGGTGATGTGCATCCTTTTGAGGGTTGTGCCGATGAGGATGGTGATGACAAGCATGCTTTTTTACAAACAACATCTGTTGATGATGATGATGATGATGATGACGATGATGGTGATGGTGATGGTGATGGTGATGATGATGAAGATGATGATGATGATGATGATGATGATGATGATGATGATGATGATGATGACGATGGTGGTGATGATGATGATGATGATGCTGATGATGATGATGACGATGATGATGATGATGATGATGATGATGATGATGATGATGATGATGATGAGGAGGAGGATGATGGTGATGACGCGTATCCCCTTGGGAGTGATACCTGTGACGAGTGTGACGACGAGTATGTTTTCAAGATGCCCCTTGCTGGAGGCCTGGGTGCGGGACAGAAGAGGGGAGGAAGTGGGAAGACAGGAGGGAAGAGGGGAGGAGGAAGTGGGAAGACAGAGAGGGGAGACAGAAGAGGGGAGGACAGAAGACAGAAGAGGGGAGGAGGAAGTGGGAAGACAGAGAGGGGAGGACAGAAGAGGGGAGGATGTGGGAAGACAGAAAGGGGCGACAGGGGGAAGAGGGGAGGGAGTGGGAAGATGAGGAGAGGCGGAGCGTGCCCCCTCCACCCTCCACCCTCCCGCGGGAGGCCGCGGGGGGAGCGGAGGGGAGAGTCGGGTACGGTAGGTTCGCGTCGTGTCGACCGGCGGCGACCCCGCCGCCGACGTTCAACGTTGAACGCCGACGGCGGCCCAGAATCGGTCGATGTTGAACGATCGGACGTTGCGGAGACGGCCGATCGTTCAAGGTTGAACGATCCAGCGCGGTGTCAGGAACCAACGCCAGGGTCGGCACGGCACGAACTAGCCGTAGGGAGGGGGGATGGGAGAATGAGGAGGTGCAGACGCTCCCTCCGCCCCCCTCCTGCTGGAGACCCGGGGAGGGGTCCCAGGAGAGAAAAAAGCAACGACCCCCAAAAACTGCCCTCCAGGTTTCTTCCCAACCATCCTGTGGTGTTGGGTCCTCGTTTTGAAGAGCGCCCCACGTTCCCTCCTTCCTCCTCCTCCCTTTCTTCTCCTCCTCCTCCTCGTCCTCCCATCCCTTGCCTCCGCTCTCCGCGTGCCCACCATTTTGGCACACCCCTCACGAGGATCGTGGCCCCATAGGGAGCTCCACCGAAGGCCCCAGTGGCACAGGCCGCATGCGCCCGACGCCTCCGTTTTGGCACACCCCTTACACAGTTCGTGGTCCCGTAGGAGCTCCATGGAAGGCACCAGTGGCACAGGCCGCATGCGCCCGACGCCTCCGTTTTGGCACACCCCTCACACGGTTCCTGGCCTTATGAGGAGCTCCACCGAAGGCCCCAGTGGCACAGGCCGCATGCGCCCGACGCCCTTATTTTGGGACACCCCTCACACGGTTCATGGCCCTACAGGGAGCTGCACCCGTGGCCCCAGTGGCACAGGCCGCATGCGCCCGACGCTCAGTTTGGCACACCTCTCACACGGTTCGTGGCCTCATAGGGAGCTCCACAGGTGGCACCAGTGGCACAGGCCGCATGCGCCCGACGCCCATTTTTTGGCACACAGCTCACACGGTTCGTGGCCCAAAAGTGAGCTCCACCGAAAGCGGTACAGTCGGGGCGCTGAAGAAGGAACCCTTTTCGTTTGGGAGGGGCTACATGTTCCTTAGCTGTTCTACAGTGCTCCTTGGGTTGTCCTGAGGTTTTCCATGGAACATCGGAGTTTAACTTATGAGAGAAAAGGGGGCCTCGTTCCTTACTTCGGGTTCCTTGGGTCAACGCCCCCAACCGTACTCACAACTGCGCATGGTTGGGTCCTTCGCCGGGAGATGTTTGTTTGGGTATTTTTGGGGGCGGAAAAAATCAGGGCCTGCAAATCCACCAGGGCTGGACCCAAACGGTGTTTTGGCGATTTCGTGGGCCGTTGTCGTTGCGATTTCGTTTTGCGGTAAAGGCGGATTGGAGACAAAACGAGGAATAACAGCAACAACACAAAAACGCAAAACACCGTTTAGGTTCAGCCCTGCTTTGTTGTGTTATCTAGTTTATTATGTGTGTTGTTGTCTTGTTGGTTTGTTTGTTGTGTTTATGTATTGTTGTTTATTTTGTTGTTTCTTTTGTTTTGTATGTGGTTGTTTGTTTGTTTTGTTGTTTTGTTTCTGGGCCTGCAAATCCATTAGTCCATTTTTTCCCCCTGGGGATCCCCGTCCGCCCGAGGCCCAGGAGTGAGAGGGATCTCCTTTCCCCCTCCCTGGGCGGACCTGCCTCCCAGGGCCAGGTCCTCCCCTCTTCCGCCACAAGAGGAAGCGACCATCACCCCGCACAATGGGAGTATATGCTTACTTCCCCCCCCCCAAAGGAATCGATGTGTAGCCACCCAGACTTTGGAGCGAGAGGGATCTCCTCTCCCCCTCCCTGGGCCAGACCTGCCTCCCAGGGCCAGGCCCTCCCCTCCTCCGCCACAAGAGGAAGCAACCATCACCCCGCACAGAGGGAATGGATGCTGAATTTCCCCCCCCCCCCCCAAAGGCATCGACGTGTAGCCACCCAGGTTTGGAAATGTGCTCGTAGCAGCTCTTATGCTAAGCCTTGACAGCGCAGGCCCCCTGCTAGTGCCCCGAGACCGCGGAGGAGGAAAGAGGTGGCAGGGGAAGTGTAAGACGCCGCTTAGTTTTGCCTCAAAAAGTGCAGGGGGGGCCAAACAAGCCTGACACCATAATAAACTATGGGGTGCAGTGATACGCTGATGACGTCATCTTAGGAAGCGGGGTCTCAGCTTACTACCTTCTGGAACTCCTGGCCCTCGCTGTTCATTCCCCTCGCTCCCCATGGAGTAGATCTTGGCTGTTTTTGGCGCCTGCTTCCAGCAGGTGGGGTATCCCCCATGGGACGCTCAGTTGCAAACGGCCGTATCAAGCAGAGGCCTGGAGCCAGATCCCACCCTTCTGCCCAATGCCGAAACGCCGAATAAGAACACGCCGACCAAACAAACAAACAACAACTTATTATACTTGGGATGTTCGGTCTTCGCCCTTCTGGCAGCGCAGGCCGCCGAGCTCACCAGCGGCATCTTCCGCACGCTGCAGGTGGCGGCCAGGAGCCGCAAGCGTCGGAGGCGGCACGACAGAGACGGCAAGGCCAGCTCGGCGCGGGAGAGGGCGAGACAGGGTGGACCTCCCCTCCTCGTCCCTCACCCCCCTCATCCTAGCCCTCTCCTCTCCTCCCTCCTGCTCAGTCCTGTTCCCCTGCCTCCCTCATCCTTTCCTCCCTCCTTCCTTCCCTCCCCTCCCAGTTGATTGAGTCATCCCCCCGTGCCCAGTTCTGACCCACAGCTTCGTCGCAGCTGTTGTGGGTTGGGTCAAGAAAAACGATCGCGGCCCGCCCGCTGGGCGCGCGCGCCCTTCCGGGCGCCCTCCCCCGGCCGGCCGGCCATTCACATCTTATTGTTAGCCTAAGCTTAACAGACACCATCATATTCATTCAGCCATGGCGTTGAGGGATACATCACCTACATTGATGATAAACCTGAGCAGAGCTATTACAGGAAGAAGATGAAGGAAAACACTTGCGAGACGATCATAATCACATATTGCTCATCCATACGGCTAAGACAGAGCCCATAGCATCAATGAGTTGGCAACATACTGGTTACCAGCCGAAAGTTCAATAGTTCATTATTCGACGAAAGTGTTTTTTGTCAGACGATGGAACTATGTTCCATACGCCCAGAGATGATGTACGCCCTAAAGAATAAGCACGCCATGGTATGAGTGTGGATGTTCCTGATCAAGGTTACGCCGACTATGTCGGGGAATCGAGCCGACGCCCATCCTCCAAGATCTGTTGGAGCCTTTCATTCGATGACGAGCCTCGTCCTAGTGCTCCGATGATCAAGGGCGCCACGCGACCCGACCGAGACGGATAATATTTTTGAGGACTTCATACCATTCGTTGACCAACCTGATGTCCCCAATCACCTCTTGGACGGCGACCCCGATGTGGATTCAATTCCGTCGGTGGAGAAGTACTCTCTCAGGTCAACGCCCAGGCCCATCGGCTTTCGCGGCGATCATTGGCCACGCACTGGGGAAGGTGAGGTCTATGACCGTGCGTCTCTTGTGCCAATGGGCGATGTCCAACCCCTTTGCGCAGGCGCTGCTGACGTGCGGCGAGGGTGCCGCGGTTCCATCCGATGATTATCTGGAACGGAATTTGGAGGAGATCAACGACGAGGCTTTCGTGGGCGGCCCCATTAGCCTTGAATTCGCTCCGGGGGGAGTGCCCGGGAGCTGTGCTCCCGGGCCCGCGCCGCGCCTTCCTCAGACGAGCCAGAGCGCCGACCGCTATGTCTGGGGCGCCTGACCTTCGCGCCCGCCCCCCCCGCAAGAGGAGTGCCGAAAGGGGCAGAACCAGGGCTCCAAGACCGCGATCTGAGGTATCTGATCTGTCCAACTTGTCGGGCAGTTCGAGCGCCATCAGCATGCGCATCAACGCCGAGTGTCCCAACTATGGACGGAAGTGCGCTGTAGTGCCAGAATCGCGGTGCTCTGGCCTGTCGGGCCGGCGCAAGAAGCCCGTCTGTTTCGTGTGCTCTGACGTCTGCGGCCTCTGCAACCTGGATTTTTTATGCCCGACGTGCACTGCTCCTGGCTCGCACGATTGCGCTGGGTTACGCGCAAACGAGTGGCGCGAAGCTGAGGGAAGGGAGAGGTTTAAGATCATGGAGATAAGGGAGAGAGATCTGGCTGACATGCGTGAGCAACTGAGGCATGCGGAGTCGCAACAACATGCGGTGGCCGCCCTAGACCGGGGGGCCACGGCGAACGCCGCGCACTACCTGGAAGAGCGTCAACAGGCGGCGGCGGCTCAACGGGCTTCTGCCGCGACAGAGGAAATGAGAGAGCTCGCCAACAGGTTGGAAATCACCGCTGTCTCCGAGCGTCGAGCACATCTCCAGGAGAAGCACCTCGCAGAGGAGGCGAGGCGCGCTGTCCGGGGGCGCGGCGAAGCTCAGCGAACGACGACGTCGCAGGCTGCCAAGGAGTTGCAAGCAGCAGAGAGTCGGAACGCGGGGCTAGCCGCAGAGGCTGCCGTTGCTATTAAGCAGGCCGCGACGAACCGAATCGTCGCGGATGAGAGCTATGCTCGGTCCGTGGCCGAGATGCTGCGCGCCTGCGAGGAGATGCGACGAGTCGAGGTGGCCGCTGAGGGGGAAGTTGCAGCGAATACTCGCGCAGCAGAACTGGAGACCGCTCGGATGGGGAAGACTCGGGAAGCCGAGCGGGACAGTTTGCGTCGCAAGCTTGATCAGCACCAGATCCAGTGGAACCCGATCGGAGCATCCTCGGCAACATCTTCAGGCACCGGGTCGGTGACCCAAGCGAGTGCGGCGGCGGCGTCGACGGCGCGTTCGCCGTAACCGACCGCGGCTGGGCGACCGGCCGCGCGTGCGAATTCGGCTCGGAATCCCCATGCGGGAGTTATGTGGTGTTCCTTGTGCTCCAAAGTGGATACTCGCAACTGCCCCATCGTGCAATGAAGGTGTTTGCGACGACCGCTTCGCGCTGATTGGCGAGATGCGCGCGCGCTGCTACGGGGGGGGGGCTCAGCAGCTGAAAAGAATGAAGCTGAATAATAACTTCAGGAGGCAGAAAATACAGAACTTCAGGCAAGAGAGAAGCTCCAGGAACAGAGCGCCGCTGCGTCTATGCCGAGGGCGGTCTCTCGCGATCGAATGCTTCGGCCCGCGCGCGCCCAGGGCTGCGTCTCGGGTAGAGATGATCGCCAGGCCGAGAGCGTTGGGTCGACGAGATTACTTGAGTTCGAGGAAGCTGCGAGGGCCGCAAATGAGAGACTCAGGGAGAAGCTCGAACAGGCTCTGCAGCGCGAAGAGGAAAACGCTAGGACGCGCGTTGAGTGCAGGGTGAAATCCCAGATGCGCGAGGAAAGGGCCGAGGCGGCCGCCGCCCTGGCGAATGCCAACTCGGGGGCAGCTCGTGCCGGCATGGCGACCTCTTTCCCCAGGTGCACGCCTGTGGCGCCGGGGAGTTCGCCGAGCATCTTCAGACAGAAAGATAAGGAGAATGAGGGGACCCCCCCAAGGAGGGCACCAGTGCTGAAACATCTAGGCCCAGGCATCCCTGGCGATGGCGGCAGAGATGACGGCGGTGATGATGACGAGGAATATGACGACTTCTACCTTGAAGACGATGAATACCCAACGCCCGACGAGGTGCTTGTTGGGGCGAAAGGCTTGAAATGTCGGTCGTTCTTACCATTATCATCATCGCCATCCCATCGCCGGCTCCGACGTGGCGGAGGACCGTCTGGAGGCGATCCGCCGGGGGGCGGCGATGGCCCCCCTTTCCCGCTGATGAAGGTCGCCCCAGCCACCGCGCAGTTTTGGAACGACACTGGCAAGACGGAGAAGATAGTCGTGGAAGTGATCCCCAATGCTGCCAACTAGCAGTGGCGGCGTCGCAATGTCGCCAGGACTGCGGCATCGGCTCGGCTTCGCCAAATTGCGAGGGGCGGTCAGCTGGTTCGCGGACCCTTTTGACTTTAATATATAATATCGGATCTGTTGTATATATATATATGTATGTATATATGTGCGTATATATACATGCATTTTTTCGTATCATATCATAACATAATATGTATATATGTGCACGTAGATGCGAAGGAGCGGAGGGACCCCGGCCATGTCGCCCGGTTGACTTGATGATCGCAGTTGACCGAATGTCCAAGGTCAACAAGCGCATGTGAACACTCGCCAGGATCATTGTCAGGTGCATGCGCGCGCGGATCTCATGGAGGTTAAGATCCGCGGCGCGGGCAAGGGGGCGGATGCCGGCCAGTTCCACTTCTACAATGAATTGGTGGGGGCACTCAACGGAATGGAGGAATTGGGCGCCCCCCCCCCCCCGCCCCGCGATGCAGGGGCATTTCTGCCGCTAGAGGCAAAAGTGCCCGCGCGTGCAGTTCACCCTTGTACCCCGTGACCATTGCATCGATGATTGCGGCACTGGCACGGAGACCTACGAATGGTTGCCATCGAGGGTCAGTGACTTCATGCACAGGGAAAGAGGGCAGATCACTCGCGAAAAGCAGCGGGAATCGCTGAATTCCCGCGGTCTCCCCGCGGGGGGCGGGAAGGGCGAAGGAAGGGGGGCGCACTGGCAAAGGTGGACATAATCTACGCATGAAAGACGGTCGCTTTAAGAAGTCAGTACCACGCAACAAGTTCCTGCAGGGCACATGCCCGCGCGCTCGAGCACAGCGCCAGCGCCGGCATCCAGGGGAAGCGGGGGCCCCGCCGCTCCAGCGCAGGCTGCGCCTGCCCAGTCGGGCCAGGACGGCGGACAGAGCGGTGGGAAGAAGAAGAGAGATGGAGAGGACGGCGGTGGAAAGGGCAAGAATGGCGATCGCGGCAGGGGCCGAGAGCGCCCCTCCGATCGGCCCAGAGGTGGCGGCAAGGAACGCGATCGTTCCACGAGCCGCGCCTCCAGCGTTAACTCCAAGAAGAATGGCTTATGCCATGTGTTTAGTCTCGGGGCCTGCCACTCGTCTTCCGAAGAGTGCCCCGCGGGCATAGACAGGCCTCGCAGTGGGAGAAGCCCTCTCGCGATAAGTACGAGGCGCACATGGACAGGATAAGCAATGCCCCCCCTACAAGCGCAGCAAGGGCCAGATGTCTGCCGCGGCGCAGAGCGCGAAGAAGAGCGCTGCGCCCGCACAGGGCAACGACAAAGACAATGCGAAGGGGAAAAGCATGAACAAGGAGAAGCGACAGTGCTGGAGGCACCTGGCCGGACAGCCCTGCCCATTCGGAAAGGACTCTTGGGGCAGGGGCAGCACCCCTGGACACCCATGACCAGACAGGCCAGCGTTCGGCGACTACGTCACCGACGTCGGCCCAGACGGGGCTGAAGTTGACCGCTGCTGCCTTGCCCTGACGATGGAATGTCTGAACGAAAACGTGCCCCGGTCAGTGGACAACGGAGTTTGCGCATAGACCGAGCACACCGCATCCAGCCATTTGGACTCTTCGACCGAAGAGGCACGCAACAAGACATATACCAAGTACACGGGGGAATCCTTTCGAGTTGCATCCCCAGTGGGCTGAGAAGCGCGCGCGAAAGGTGAAGATCCACTCGCGACTGGCATTCACAAGAAATACGGCGCATGTGGGCTGGCTGGGAGCAACAGACCGATGGCGAGCTTAGTGATGCCAGCAGTGGACACGATGGCGACCTGGTTGCCGCTGTGTCTGCTAGAAGACAACGGAAGGCCATGAGGGATAAGAAATCGGATCCCGTTCGTCTTGGATCCATGAGGTCTATGGTCGACGCGGGATGCGGTTCGAATATGATCTCCGCCAGGTACTTACAATAATCAGGGACGGTTGACAGGATCTGTCCGCTGGCCGCCCCCATCACCATAAAACGGTGGGCGGCCAGTCTAGAGCCCTCGGCGCGATCAGCATTGCCAGCGACAAGCTGAATAAACGGGAGATAGAAGCAATTGTCATGCTAGAAACTCAGAGCGCGATATCAGTTGGCGAGCTCTGCGTGGACCACGGTTACAGTTTCCACTGGGTAACCGGCAGACCGCCGTACCTACTGATGCCACAAGGAAGAAGGTTGGAATTCTCAGTCGAGGGTACGAGCCCCCACCTTACTATGAATGGCAGAGGGGCCTTGGGTCAGGTAGACGAGGCAGCTCCCGCCGGCTCGCCCGGGCTTGAGCGGTGGACGCGCGTGGAGATCGGCGCGAGGTCTAGCCTGGATGACCCTGGCATGCTGGGCGGCCCCCCGCCCCATGCATTCAGGCACCGCGCAACTCTTGAGTTGCACTCGCGAAAGGTGATGGCAGAAGACTTCTACTCGAATGGCAAGCTGGATGGTGTGAAACGGGCCCCGGGAAGCAGCTCCCGCTTCACCAGGCCCGCTTCGGGCCTTGTGGGCCGCCGGAAACGTCAACCCGGGGCAGGAAAAACAGGTCAGGATGAGGGGAGGAGAGGGGGAGGAGAAGGGAGGAGGAGGAGGAGGAGGAGGAACGGGAGGAGGAAGAGGAGGAGGAGGAGGAGGAGGAGCATACTGATTGTCAAGGCTGTATCTTAGGACGCGGGTAAAGTGTTACCATGATCGTGTCCTACCGTGCGTGAGGTACGATACGCACCGGTGTCTTCCACCCGTGTTTTGCACCTGTGGTTGGTACTGGTACACCTGTTATGAGGAGGAGGACGAGGAGGAGGAGGAGGAGCAGGAGCACGACGAGGAGTTGGAGGAGGAAGAGGACGGGGACGAGGAGGAGGAGGTGGATGATGAAGAGGAGCAGGAGGCGGAGGCGGAGGCGGAGGCGGAGGAGGAGGAAGAGGAGGAGCAGGAGGAAAAGGATGAGGAGAGCAAGGAGGAGGACGAAGAGGAGTAGGAGGAGGAGGAGGAGGAGGAGGAGGAGGAGGAGGAGGACGACGAGGTGGAGGAGGAGGACGAGGTCGAGGAGTTGCCAGAGGGACGCAATTCGTTTTGTCTGATGTTGCCGTGCGGTTGCACTCAGGTAGGCGGCGTAGCCTCGGGTGGAGTCGGGGGGAACTGATTCACCGCAAGGGGCCTCCCCAGGGAGGTTCGCCGTCCTGGGGCGGGGTGCGGAGGTGGGGCTCGAGAGGTGGACCACCCAGGGAGGCTCACGCGGTGAATCTCTGGTAGAATTCACAGGGATGCTTGATATGTGTGTTCCTCCTTAGGGACTTTCGCGTTCCTCGGTCGGGGGGCCGATCTGGAGCCAGCCTGGGGCGGTGAATCTCCCGTAAAACTCACAGATCTCATTGGGTTCGGTAAATTCTACGGAAGGTTCACCGCCTGGGGGCCTCCGCAGGGAAGGTCGCGGTCCTCGGTCGGGGGGCGGAGCTGGCCGGGCGGAGCCAGCCTGGGGCGGTGAATCTCCTGTAAAATTTAAAGATCCCATTGGGTTATGTAAATTCTACGGAAGGTTCGCCGCCTGGGAGTCTCCGCAAGGAGGTTCGCGGTCTTCGGTCGGGGGGCGGAGCTGGTTTAAGGCGGAGCCGGCCGATCACATTGAGTTGTAAATTTTACGGAAGGTTCACCGTCTGGGGGCCTCCGCAGGGAGGTTCGCGGTCCTCGATCCGGGGGCGGAGCTGGCCTGAGGCTTCGGGAGGCCCTGCACCACGTGAAAATTGCCACCCTGGGAAGCACCCCGAGGGTTAAGTGGCAGGTGTCCAGGGGAGTTTTCGGGCCTGCGGATATTTCCTCGTGGGCTTCCCGACAATTTCGGCGTTCGCTTTCGTTTGCAGTTTCCTGGCTCGGTCCAGGGCATTCCGTGGTTGGGGGAATCGGATTTCTTCGTTTGCCCTCTGAGAATGTCCTCGCTCGCCTCCAAAAAAAATCGCTTCGCCTGTCGACCCCCCCCCCTTTCCCCGCAAGGCCCCAGCACAGGGCTGGGCCTCGAACAGCCCCAGCGCCGTCGGCCAGCCGCCCAGGCTCCAGGACCGCCGCTGAGCGCTGGGCGAAGAAGGGAGAGGGGCAGGAGGAGGGGGGGCAGAATGATGAGGAGACGCAGGGAGGAGGAGGAGGAGGAGGAGGAGGAGGAGGAGGAGGAGGAGTTGGAGTAGGAGGAAGAGGAGGAGAAAGAGGAGGAGGAGGAGGACGACGACGAGGAGGAGGAAGAGGAGGAAGAGGAGGAAGAGGAGGAAGAGGAGGAAGGAGAAGGGCAGGAGAGGGGGGGGAGGGAGGAGGAGGTAGGGGGAGGGAGGAGGGGGAGGAGGAGGGGGAGGAGGAGGAGGAGGAGGAGGAGGAGGAGGGAAGAGGAGGTAGGAAGAGGGAGGAGGAGGAGGAACAGGAGGAGGAAGGTGGGAGCTGCTGCATCCCTCCTGCTGTCCTTGCTCCTCAGCTCCTCAGCCACGGGGGCACAGGCGCGACGGCATGTGGCGTCATCTGATAATGTAGCTACACTTACTTCTACCTCACATCGCACGGGATGTTGACGTTTCCTCGCTGCTGGCGGCTGTGGTTATTGGGACTGTTTGATCTCAGAGTCGGATGCTATAATCCCTTATCGGCGAATACACTAGACAGGATTGAGGATATTGCAGGGAGGACAGCGAATTTTGATATATTGGTGGTGAGTGGTACCAAACAAAAAACTTCGACGGGCACTAATATACGTCGTCGAGTCATTGAGGCGGGAGAAAAGGGCACAAGCCACCGACTTTGTCTAGATGCTGGGTATGCTGCGTCTCCATATGTGACGAATTCGTGCGGCATCAGTATCATATGGGGGAGGCGTGTACGTGCTGAACATTTTGTGCAGATTACCCCTGCTCCAGAGTCAATTCGAGGGCGAGGGCTTCTGGCCCGCGCAAAGAACGGCACGATGAACGTGACAGCGGTTGCTGTTTACTTTCCTCCTCGTCCTCGCGAGATAGATGCGCAGGAATGTTACAAAACGACGTGTGACAGACTATCGAGCTGGATTGCGACGTGTTTAGCTTCTCTTCCATCGCGCACGACGCCAATTTTCTGCTGTGATCTCAATGATGGGCTGGACAAGGTGCGAGGCGAACATAGCGAGTGGCATTCTGATGGTCTGAATGTGGTACCGCCTCAGACAGCGTCCCTTGCTCACTATGCGGGCGCGCTGATGGGACCCATACTGTCTGAACATGATCGGCAGGCCGCCAATTGCTTTCGGGGTGCTGCACCAACGTTCTACTTTACGACGGGACATTCGTCCTTGATCGACTATGTGTGTATACCACGGCCAGTCGTGCAGGTGATGAAGGCTGCAGGACCGCTTCGCCGGCTCAGTCGTGATCTTCAACTTACTCCTGAGGCCAAGTCATGTGATCACTTGGTGGTGCAGGTGGCATTCCCATATATACTAGCACCTGGATGTACGCATGAGGAACAGTCTGCACGACACATGTGGGATTTTGATATTATTATGCGATGTGTGCGAGGCGGAGAGAGACGACGTGAGTTTCTGGAGGCTCTTCGTGCACGTCTTCGGGAGGATGCTGATAGATTGGAGGAGGCTCTTGCAAAGAACACTGCGGATGGTTTGTTCGATGAAATGAATTCTACTTTGATTGACGTAGGAAAGCAGACTTTCACTACAGCACAGTTCACCAGTGATCAGAGACAGCAACTTCGCGAGGATCGCGAAGCACTTCTGGCAGAATGGCGTCAGCTCAGGCGCCGCCTTGAAGGAGCGACGGAGGAGGAGGAGGAGAGCATAGCAGAGAGGCTCAAAGCATTGTCAAAAGCTAACAGGCGGCAGCGACGGCAAGAGAAAGAAAAACAACAGCAAGCACTTCTTTCTGAAGTTCAAGAGTATTGGCGAGCGCGACGGCTTGCAGAAGATTCCAGGTTGGCTCGACGGCTCGCTGGGTCTCGCTAGGGCCCCAAGAAGAGGGATTATCAAGCTGTGCGAGGGGTGATAGAAGATAGGGCAACTCTCATTAGTCAGTTCGAAAAGAAGGGGTACGAGGGGGGCATGGACAGTACAGTTACTGAGTCTTGGGAGCCCTGGAAACAAGAACAACTTCGAGGGGTCCTTCGAGGGCCAACGTCTTCGGAGTGGGAACAAGAGGCAGCTCGTCGGGATTATATGTCTATCAAGTTTGCTATCAACCGGTCTGGGAAACGCCGTGCTGTTCCCGAGTGGTGCCCTCCCCTAGAGCTCTGGTGGCTCCTCATGTTCCCCAGCAAGGCATGGCCCCACCGAGGTGAAGGGGTTGGGATGTCTGCTGAGGTCCCAGACATGAGCTCTGGGCAGGAGCTGCTCTTGCGAGGTCTCACGCTTGTTCGTCATTGCCGTTGTGCACCGCTGCGGTGGCATCTAAGCCGAGGCGCGCCCATTCCTCGGCCTGGTGGCAAGTCAAGTCTCGCTGGATACATGCACTCGATCCCTTTGGCAAGTCGTGGTCAGCAGGACTGATGGAACAAGTTGGTTCTTTGATAGCTTCCCCCCAATATCATGGTTTTTTTTCCAGTTTCGGCGACGGGAAGGGTCTGCGATTGTTCAGAATACGACAGGGTGGTGGCTTGATCAGAGGGGGCTGCCTTATATCACCAACGCGCATGACCTGACCAACGCATTTGCGTCTAGTAGGCGGCAGTGCATGCGCGCTGCTGCTTCTGATCTCTTTCGGGAAGATGATAGGGGATATGGGGTGCAACAGATGGATTGTGCTGCTACTATTCTTCATGGGAGTGACGGGGATGTCGCCCTGAAACCAGGCTGCGGCGGCCTGATGGGGGACAGATTTGCTGTGGATGCGTTTGTGAGAATTGTTTTACCACCTGTGGCGAACTGGCGCGACATGCAGCATCAGTGGGGCCCGCGCTCGACTTTAATGCGAGCGCGTTGTCCCCTCACCAGCCAGCTGGCGGACCTTTCACCGAAGAAGTATGCGGACGATTTGACGAAGAAGCTAACGGGGCACAATGCGATGATTCTCGTAAACAAGTCGGTAAGGTCCAGCCAGGAGCTGGATGCGGCTCTTGAGTCCTGTGGTTTTTCGGCAGAATCTTACCAAGCAGGGTGCCCCCCCTCTCTCTTCGAGGTCCTGGGGTGGGACAAGAGCTTCGAGAGATCCGAGACGGGCTCATTGAGTTCCCTGGCAAAGCTGCGTTAGAAATCAAGAGTCTTGGGTTCGCTATGTCGTCGTCGGCAGCAAGGTTTGGACCTGAGTGGAAGTCCATGGAAAAAGCATTACGTCGGGCTTGGTATTCTCTTGGAGGCTTCTGGAGCGCGCCTGGAATTCCTCATCGCTTACGTCGGTGTGCATTCATTTCCAAAATATACAACACTGCTTTATCTGGACCGGAGGGCTTTCTACATTGTGAGGGAGAGATGGCTAAGTTGAATAACATGGTGGCAGGCTATGCTAGGCGGGCGATGAGTGGAAAAGCATGTGATAGAGAGGCACCTGGACATCCTCGTTCAATGGCCTCTGCTGCTGTTCTTCAATGGTGGCGTCTTGTACCGTTGGGTGCAGAGCTTACCGTTCGGCGCTTGCGTTACTGGCAGTCGCTAGCTCGTGCGCCGCTGGCGAATCAACAAGTTCTCATTGCTTTATTCGGTCATTTTGAATGCGATGTTCCAGTTCTAGACACTGGGCATCTTACTTCGAGGGCTTCCCCCTGGGCTCAGCAAGTAGCGAGAGACCTTCGGGCACTTGAGGGGCTTGACGAAGGGGCAGCGTTCCTCTATATTTTAGGGAATCGCATTTTCCTGGCGTTCTCGAATCCAGAGTTCAGCGAAGAGTTCAATCGCATCGATCCTCGGCAACTTCGCGCGCGCGCATTGGGCGTTCGGGTTCCACCACCAGAGTTTCTTGGGGCGGAGGAGGTTTCAGGAGTTGTACCTTATGAAGATGGTGCAGGGGCGTTTCGCTGTGAGTTGCAAAATCCTGATGGGGAGGTCTGCGGGAGAGTACTTCGTGATAGGAGAGCGGCACACACGCACATCATAGCACATCATGGGTATCAGGAACTTGCACATGTGATTCTATAGGCTTACGCCACATCCGCCGACCCCTTTTTTTTCCGCGTGGTCGTTATCACGGCTTCTTTGCAAACTGCGGGAAAGGTCCAGGTGGTGACCTTGAACTGTGTTCGGGTGCTGTTGGGCGGGCCGTCGCGCATGGGCGCCGTTTGGGGGGCCCTGTCGCGGGGGGTATCAGGCATGCACGGGGTGTTTGGGGGTTCTCTCCGAGGGTTCCGCGGTCGCCCTTGGGGCTTTTCGGGTGGTGGGGTCGGGGCAGTACGTTGCACGCCGGTGACATCTCAAGGGCGTCGGCGGATGCCGTCCGGGAGTACTGTGGAGTATCATGGTCGGAGTCTTTCGGGTAGTGTGTTGCCAGGTGACGAGGATGGTCCTGCTGACACGACGGCGACCATGACGACGATGGTGATGCTGCTGATGATGACGACGATGACGACGTCAATGACAATTGCGACGACGATGAGGAAGATGATGGTGATGCTGATGGTGGTGGTGATGATGATGATGGGGAGGATGAAGATGAGGGTGGGGATGAGGATGAGGATGGCGAGGATGAGAAAGAGGAGGAGGGAGGAGGAGGAGGTGGAAGAAGAGCAGCAGGATGAGGAGGAGGAGGAGGGGGGAGGGAGGGGGAGGATGAAGAGGAGGAGGAGGAGGAGGAACGATGATGAGGTGGAGGAGGAGGAGGGGGAGGAGGGATGAGCAGGAGGCAAAGATTGACAGTATGGGTCACGGGCCCCCGCGATAGGTTTTGTCGCGTTGTCGGGGGCATTCGTTGCCTTGGCTGGACGCGGCTCGAGTGTGTCTTATGATGTGAGGCGGTGCTTGGCCCGTTCTCATTGATCAAGGCACAGGCGCGAAATTGTTGGTCAACCATTTCGTTCCTTCTGCGACAGGGTTTCCCGTTCCGTTTTGGGCACGGTCCGTTTTGGGGGTCGGCGGTGCGGGGGGTGCTGTCTCACGTCTCGCATGCGGT